GAAGAGATAAAGACTCATTAATAATTGGACACTTAAATTATACATAATACAAATCCAAACAGTACAAACTTTTATTCAATATTCAAGCACTTTGATATGGATATAGAAAACACAAACTTGAACCTTATTCAAATGCAGATAATGCATTTGTTATACATTTCTCTGTCTCATTGCTGATAAACTGAAACATTTGGTCGGGGCTCGAAATCTTTCTCAAATGTCTTCTTCTCTCCCTTCAATCCAACGTCATCGGTGTAAGCTGAGACATTAGGCCTTGGTTCGAAGTCTTTCACAAAAGATTTCTCGTCCTTTGGTTTAGCATCATTATTGTAAGACGAGACATTAGGCCTTGGCTCAAAGTCTTTTGTAAAATATTTCTCATTTTTTAGCTTATCATCGTGATAGGCTATGGCACTAGGTCTTGGCTCAAATTTTGTTGCAAAAGATCTTTTATTTTTAAGTTTATCATCGAGATAGGCTGTGGTACTTGGTCTTGGTTCAAAGTCTTTCGTGAAAGATCTTTCACTTTTGTGCTTATTATCACGATAGGCTGTGGTACTTGGTCTTGGTTCAAAGTCTTTCGCAAAAGATATCTCATTTTTTAACTTATCATCACGATGGGTTGTGGTACTAGGTCTAGGTTCAAAGTCTTGAACAAAGGGCTTGTCTTGTTTACTTGCCTCAGTTGAGGTGTGGCAATCACTCTTTATTCTCGGAACATATTCAACAGAATTTGTATCGAGAAGACCTTGAATTGCCTCTGGCATGGGCAGATTTTTCATAACCCCTTGCCAGTACTCTCCTGGTTCTTTTCGTGCATCAGTAGTCGTTGCCAGCTGCAAAAAACAAAGAGAAAATCAAGAAAATGTACTAGGAAGGAAGAAGACAACGATGAAATAACAAAGTATAAAAAGTAGTAAAACGTTTTATATTGCTCTATTTATTTCATTGCTATATGCATTGGAAAAATTCAGACTCGACCGAAGAATGTTTATACTTACTACTGCAAGACAGAAAATCCCCAATAGAGCGACGGTTGATTTCATCTCTCCCTCTTTTCCTAATAAGGTTATTCCTACACAATACGAGTCTTTTTTATGAATGAGATTTGGTAAGCAGAATGAAGACGCTGGCAATTTATAGAAAGAAAAAAATATGCTATCTGTTATATTAACAATAATTAAAATCAAACTTATATATCAATAGATAATACAGGGTTATGTCGTTTCACGTGGAATTAATATTTTATCATTTTACTAATGATCCTCCAAAAATAAATATTTTAATATTGTAGGATATCAGATATGGTCGTTCTGATTAGCAACATGATTAATGAAGTTGTGCTACTATTGATTCACGTGAAATCTAAGAAATACTTGTCTTTCTGAGTTGAGCAAGAAAATATACTTAGTGATTCTCAAATCTAGTGTTGTTTTCTACTTGTAAAATTCTTGGAAAACTTTCATTCCAATGGCTAAAAGAAATAGAAAATAAGAAGGATTGAGCAAAAACTTGTGCGTTTTATCTGAATTTTTAGTAGATTAATAAAAGTTGATGAAATGTGTAGTTGAAAAGTTATGGATTCCATAAAATTAGTTGTTGATTTTATTTTATTTATCAAACAGGACTAAATAAAAAAATGGTGATGAAAAATTAACATATAAATGTTACCAAACTTGTCCCATACTTCACAATCCCAGGTAATTTTCTCGATGCTATTTTTGAATATGATGAATTTACATATAGCTTTCTTTATGCATTTAACGTCATGCCCATTTGAAATCACAAAAAATAAATGGAATTTGATTCAAACGTTTAGAGAAAATAAGTTAATATTAGAGTAGATTCAGCATTTGGGGTTGTGGTATATAATGGGTGGACGAAGATTTAAACTTAATACTAGTGGCCTGTTTGGGCTTGATTTTAATCTAATTTTAATTTAAGTCAAAGTCAAACAATTAATATCAATCACATCTTTCATGGGTCTCAAATATTTTCAATCACACATTCGTGAGTTCATTCCAGTTGGATTTCGAGAACTATGAGGCGAGTTGTAAATGTTAGTGGAACTTTGTCGGAACGATTCATTTTGTGTTTTAAATTTGACTAGGAAACATTATTTAAATAAATAAAAATAAAAATTTTAATATATTATCACGTCATTTGAAAAAAAATTCATAGTTAACTTATGTCCCATTGAATTTGAAATTAACCGTCACTAACAATGAAGCATCACAATTTTATCTCCGCATTAGTACTCAAAAGAACTTTATTATATGCACATAACTGAACACTTGATTATTGATTATGGATAACACAAATCCAAACCGTACAAATTTTTATTCAATCATCATAATTCAAGTTTTTTTTTTAATGCTTTTTCTCCAGGCTGAGAAATATTATAACACTTGCATACTAGAGAACACAAACTTGAACCTTATTCAAATGCAGATGATGCATTTGTTATACTTTTCTATGCCTTATTCCTGATAAACAGAAATATTTGGTCGAGGCTCGAAATCTTTCTCAAATGTTTTCTTCTCTGCCTTCAATCAAACTTCATCTTTGTTACAAGCTGATATATTAGGCATTGGCTCAAAGTCTTTCGCGAAAGAGTTCTCGTAATTTGGCTTAGGATCATCATTGTAAGAAGAGATATTAGGCCTTGGTTCAAAGTCTTGTGTGATAGATTTTTCCTTTCTTAGTTTATGATCAAGATAGGAAGTGACACTAGGTCTTGACTCAAAGTTTATCGCAAAAGGTCTTTCGATTTTTAGTTGTTCATCATAATGGATTGTGATACAAGGTCTTGGAAGGTTTGCTTGACTTGTTCTTAATTGCATTATATCTAATAGTGTACGAATCTTCCTTTCAGATACATCATTACGTTATTGTGTATATGGAGGAATCCACTATGAGAGAATCTCATTCTTTTTTAGATAATCTAAATTCTCCCTTTTAGATATTCTTCACATTCGATAAGGTCTTAGTGCAAGAATACATTTATATATGTGTTTATCTATTTCTAACTTGAATCTTTTGATCATTTCAAGAGTTTCGTGCTTGAATTTGATCAAATATACATGACAATTTTTGAAATAGTCGTCAGTAAATGTGATGAAAAAAGAGAGACTTCATCTAACATTAATTGATATATGTTCACATACATAACTATGTATTAGGTTTAATAATTATGCAGCTTTTCTCTTTTTCAAGTGAAATGAGATTTGGTCATTGTGCCTGACATACATGATTCACATTTGTTAAATGATTCAAAATCATTTGACCCAAATATATATCTCTATGTAATTTTGGAATCGCATTTTCATATATGTGATCAAATCTGCAATGCCAGATATATGTGTTATTCAGTTTATCATTTAATGTCTTTCAATTTCTATACTCAGTATTTAGAATATAAATGTCATTTTATAAATTAACATAGCTATTAAGATCTTATCAAGATAAAAAAAGGAACAAAAATTGTCCTTAGCATTAGAATAATTCATGTCCAAACATGAAATTTATTTAATGATCTGGTAATGGTGTGTACAGAGTAACATTTCTCTAATTCTAATACTAGGCCTAAAAGCAATGGCAAGAAATATGTTCCTACAGGCAATACAACAACATTTGCTCATTTTCAACATGTAAATTTACTTCTCCCTTATGCAGTGATGTACTTCTATTTTGTTGCTGCATATTTATACAAATATGAGATCCATGTCTGGTATCCAATACCCAATAAGATAATGAAGTAGACATAGCCTCACCGTTTTCTTTTCAATGACCTATCATTTCAAAATAATAATAAGGGTCATTAGATTTGATAATGGCCTTATTCGCTTGGCTGTCTTAGTCATCCTAGTTGCTTTCCTAAAGTTTCCTTTAGACGTCCCCAGAGAAATGTATGAATAAGATTTGTCTACTACAAAATTAGATATTAGGTTTAACAGTCTTAAGCATATTTACTAACTCAATAAGTGTGCATTCGAGTTTATTAATGTTAAATTCATAATCAACCATGAATAACTCTCTGATAAAGACTGCAGAACCAAATCTATACTTAGTTTATGGTTCATGACTGAAATCAATTCAAACAACTTCTCAATGTAGTCAATATCTTCAGTGCACAAGCACTTATTGAGAGCTTGTTTGGGAGGGATTAAAATTGAAAAATTAGCCGTTATTGTTGACTTTTATTAGACAGGTGGAATCCAATAACGGCTATATTTTCAATTTTAATTGGATTAAAATTTCTTCCAAACAAGCTCTGAAGATTCTCTTGTCATTATGCACCAGTCCAATTGTTATGAAATCTCATATCTTTCCACACGTGATTTTTTTATCATTCAACACATTGAGATGAAAAATTATGTATTAACATCTATACTCTCATGTTGCTTTTGTAACATAGTCGCAAATATCACACATGTTACAATACTATCGTCATCATTGTATTTATTATAACAACATCTTCCTTTATCGAGTCATCAGCAGGTGT